TAGGTTTTGATAAGTAAACCAAAATATCATCTGCAAACAAGGCCAATTTCTGCTCACTTCCAGCGATATTAATCCCTTTTATGTTACCATTCTGCCTAATCCTTTGAGCCAATGGCTCTATAAAAATAGCAAATAAGAGTGGACTCAGTGGGCATCCTTGTCTTGTGGACCTTTAAAGTTTAAAAGCATCTGAAAGTTCACCGTTAATCTTTATTTTTGCAGTTGGGCTATTATACAAGGCCCTCAATATAGTGATGATGGACCCATTAAACCCAAATCTAAGCATTGCTTGGAATAAAAATTCCCATCTCACAGAGTCGAAAGCTTTTTCAGCATCTAGACTCAATAATATAGCTGGTATTTTATTTAAATTAATATGTCTAATAATTTGCAGAGTTCTCTTAACACTATCATGGGTTTGGCGTGACCTAACAAATCCAGTTTGATCTAGGTTTATTATCCTTGGGATGATCCCTTCAAGTCTCCGTGCTATGATTGACGTAAACAATTTGTAATCTACATTTAATACACTTATTGGCCTGTAGTTGGAACATTCTAGTTTGTCTTTATCATCTTTATGTATAGCAGAAATTATGGCTTGGTGCCATGAGGAGGGTGCTTCTCCCTTCGTAAGTAGCCAATTAAATGTTTTAAGTAAGACCGGAGTCAGAGGTTCCCTTAATTTCTTGTACCACTCCGCAGTAAAACCATCTGTACCTGGAGATTTGTTTGCCTTAAGTTTTCCAATCACCAAGTGAAGTTCTTCCCTTGTGAATATAGTTTTTCATAGTATCTCTTAAAGCAATCCTTAATTTCCTCTATACCCTGCATTTCCATTTTAGTTTCTGGGTCCCTTATCCTGTATATTGTTCTGTCTGCTTGGTGTTTTCTTAATCTATAAGCCAATTGTTTCATATATTTAGTTCCGCCCTCATAATATCTTTGTTTGGTCAACATTAATTTTGTTTGGATGTCATGAGTGTATATCTCATTAATTAGATTTCTCTTCTTTGCCATTTCTAATTTTGTCTTAGTATCAATAGTATTTTTATGTGTGGCCTCTAATTGTAATAGTTCCGACTGCAACTTCTGGAATCTTACAACTTTGGTTTTTTTAATATTGGAGGTTATAGCAATAATTTTTCCTCTCATCACTGCTTTGCACGCATCCCATAAAATCGGTGGGGGTAACTCATCTTTATCATTGAATTCCAGGTATTCAGCAATGTCTTTTGTCAACTGTTCACATGTCCGTTCATTCAGTATACTAGAATTTAATTTCCAGTTGATTATTTTTCTCCTTTGCGTAGAGTTTAAAGATAAATATAGAGGGCAGTGATCCGAAAAGTCCATTGGCCCAATATGGCATTCATGTATTCTGTTCTTATCAGTACCAAAAGTGAGGAAGTAGTCGATTCTCGAATAAGTTGCATGTGGAGATGAATGAAAGAGTTTTTTTTAAACATTTAATAATGTTAACCAACAGTGAATTAAAAAAGCAATGCAAAATGTTGCTGTTTTCTACATATTTCACATTTTTTGTAAAAAGAATTAGTTGGTCATGAAATTAAATTTAGGAACAAAGCAAAAAGGTGTCAAA